AAAAGCAGTAAAAGCACTGCTACCTTCTTGAGATTGAGCTGAAGCCGACATGACCGCCTTGCCATGCCCCTTGCTGCTCAGACCCAAGTCCTGAACCTTGGCCCCTGCAGGAAGAGAGCCACCTCCTTCAAAAAACTTAATCCCCTTAGCAACTTCTCTAAAAGTTCTCCCATCTCTCTCTTGCATCTTAGCTTTACCTTTACGGTTAGCCACAATAGTCCACCCCGGATCCTGAGCCTCATTAGGTGTTTTTCGCGAAATAGGAATCCACAGTGATAGGCTGTGGGAACACCAAAATAACATCTTCAGCTAGTTTTTCCTGCTCCTCAACCTCAAGAACTAAATCCCTCGGGAACACGTTAGGCTCATTATCCAGCTGTTCCACTTGGAGAAAGCTCTTGTTTGAAATTTTTATAGGACACACATGACCACGTTCCATCTTTTGGCTGCAATAGAAGCATATAGCAAACATAGATTCATAGCTTACAAAGATTTTGGTTTCTTGAGGGCCCTCCCCCAATATTAGACAGCGTTTCAAAGGCCTAGTTAGATCCAGCAGCATGCGAACCCGGACAAACATACTCTGCTTTCCCTCAGTAGACTGCAGGTCAACACTAATCGGGTATCCAAGGATAGAAACTAGATCATGTAACACTTCCGGGTCTTTATAGTGGAGAGGCAGAAAAGGAATTCTGACCCAGCCAACAATGGATGTGACAGTAGCATGGAAAGGGGAAAAGTCTGGAGTCCAGAGCTGGATAGCAAAAATCTGACCCTGGACAAACCAAGGTTTGTTCTCCAGCACAAAAACGACATCTTCTTCAGCAGTAAACTCCACCTTGTACCAGTCACGACTAATATGGTCAATCGTAACATCGCCTTGCATATTTTTCCACTCACTCTTAAGTCTGTGCCTAATGACTACTGTTCACAGGAACTCCAAAGACCTTGCCAACTAAACAGAAAGTCTCATAATGGCTTTGGACAGAAGAAGCTAAGGCAGTAATGGACACTTTGGTTTCATTTCTATCCACTCTAAAAGTAAATCTGCCCTTACGGACTACACTAGGCTCCACAATGGACCTATTTCCCCAACGGGGATCAGACTTAGGGCTTGGACTACGGGAATTTGCACGAGACAAGCTTGCATTGAGTTGAGCCCTCATGGTGAGGTAGAGAGAAAATATGCAACAACAAAGGGATAAATGACTTAGCCACAGGAGTAGATTGAAGTGATGAGCAACAACAAACCAAGTCTCCAGATAAATAGGCAGGGGAGATTTCTTACAATGATTACAAACATAATCCATCCACCAATGCATGCTCAATGAGACATCGGTTACCTTACCTAGACCGAATTAAGATTAAAAAAGATTTGTAATATTTTTGGGGCCCTCTTAAGTGGGGCCCTGTGCGTACTCACGGCACAGTAATGAAGTTCTCGAGAAGCTAAGCGGAAGTGCACATGGGATCATCAAAGTTGTCAGAATTTGTGTGGAGATATCGAATCCAAAGAATCGATGTCCAACCCTTTGGTATTTTGTAACCTGCAGGCTGCAGGAATTTAAGTACAAATGACTTCATTAAAAACAAGGTCACACTAATTAAGCATGTATATAATATGCATGATTTTTTGGTTTGCTTTTTCACACGAACGAGAACATCACGCACAATTGATGAAGCTATTGATACAATGTCAATAATTATTAAAGGCTTTTTATCACAAAACGTCCCTGACGTTTACGAAACTATCAAATTGCATCCTTAAAGTTTTTTTGTATCACTTATGGTCCTTAACGTTAATATGGGTGCTCTTAAATAGCCCCTCTGTCCAAAAAACTGTTAAATCCAGGGATATAATCATCAAATCAATCCACTTTCACCTCTTCAACCATTAATGAATTTATAGGTTAGTTTAGTTGAGAGAAAAAGAAATGGTGGGAGTTGCTCCAGAAGCAGATGATGGAAGTAGGAGATGTTTACCACAGTGGATGCTGGGCATATCTTCTGTTGGCCAGGTAAGGAAGCCTAGTAATGGTAAAGAGGAAGGACCTGCTTCTTATGAAACTGAAACATTGGGAGAAAACTCACATGGAACTTGTAAAAGGTGAGACAAAGAAAAGAAAAACAAAATCAACAAGATGCAGACTATGGAACTATTTCCCTCTATTTCTTGTTGGAATTGGCTGGAAACTAAAGGTAAGCACTGAAAATGGAAGGGAATAACATAAACAAACTGAACTATAAAAACCCAGCTGCGGTTTTGCCCAGAAATTTGAAGATTTTTCGTCACCAAAAGTTTTTAGTGACAGATGTTCATCAGATTTTTTGTGGCTAAACATTTTCTGCGACGGTGTTCTTCAGATTTTTCGTCACTAAAAGTCAAATTTCCAGATCAACTTCAGACTTATATATGCCTTGGGCTCTGTCCAATTGTGACGGATGTTCCAAATTTCCTAATTTTTTGTATTTCCCCGATCCTGGTTATGGTTACAGGTTTCTAGAATTATATATATATTATATAATTTTGGATTGATTTGACGATTATATCCCTGGATTTAACAATTTTTTTGACAAATGGACTATTTAAGAGCACCTATATTAACATTAGGAACCATGAGTGATACAAAAAAACTTTAAGGATGCAATCTGATAGTTTCGCAAATGTTAGGGACGTTTTGTGGTAAAAAGCCATTATTAAATTTATATTAAGCATGCTACGCTAGGCATATATAGCCAAGCGGCTCATAAAATGCCCCGTTGATTTTAGGATCAAAAACTAAATGGGGTTTTGGTTAGATGATTCCACTGATTTGGACTGGTTGCATTTTTATTTATGAGCTGCATCGGGATATTGGATTGACACTATTTTTATTTTATTTTATCAATGTTTGGTTGTAGGGCTGGTTATATTAGGGAGTAGAAGAATTACTTCTATATAGATAAAGGGTGAGATTTCATTGATTCATATAAGGTTTTTACAGCCTCTTTAATCTCTATTCAGAGAAATCTTCTTCATGGTTTAAAAATTATGAATTCAGGCATGTTCTCACGAAAGAAACTTTCTATACAATATTATCTTTATTTTATATTAACAAAATTTATACAAATATTTTGGAATTAATCATACTTAATTTCAGGACATGCAATGCTTTTTGTTTTGATATGCAATGCCAATGAAATTGTCAAATAAGCGATTGTTTGGGTCTTTAAAAGGATGGTAATAATTGTGGAACAAAACTATTCAATAATCTCACGGCTTATTATCACAAAACGTCTTTAAGGTTTACGAAACTATCAAATTGCATCTTTAATGTTTTTTTGTGTCATTCGTAGTCCTCAAGGTTAGTATGTGTGATCACAAATGGTCCTTGCCGTTAGGTTCCATCAAAAACTCCGTTAGTTTGCTGATGTGGCATATATGTAAAACATCCATGAGGTTCACGCACATATCACAAATTAATGGTCCCTGTGAAAATTTTTCATTTTTTCATTTAAAATTCATAAAAATTAAAAATGAAAAAACTAAGGGTTTAGGGTTCATAAATGGTCCTCAAGATTAAAATCCTTCTATAAATGGTTTTTTCATTTATAAATAATTTTAAAAAGAAAACCAAAATGATATGAATTTTAAATGAAAAAATTTAAAAAATTTCGTAAGGACCATTTGTGATTGCACATACTAATCTTGAGGACCATGAGTGACACAAACAAACATTAAGGATGCAATTTGATAGTTTTGTAAACCTTAGGGACGTTTTGTGATATTAAGCCTAATCCCACTAAAGCGGTAAAGCCGTTGTCCAGAAGCAAAGGTATTTGTTCAGTTCAGTTGAGTTCATTGCTCAGCTTAAACCATTTGGATCCAAAGTACACTAATGTCCCCAAACCCAATTAATTACCGTTAGGGGGTTTCTCTCTCATGTACAAAGGAAGCCTCTGAAGCCCAAGTAACAAATCCCGTACTTTTTTTGGTTGTAAAAGTTTAGGGGGGGAGATTAGCTACTCTCACCACTTGTGCCAGGGCAGACCCATAAATCTTGTACCTTGTGTCCCAACGCAAGTGACCCCATTTCTTTCCATGGATAACCTCACCCAATTAAGCTCCCATTGGTAATGTACTTCATAGACCAGAAGATTTGTTTCATGGTTTGAAACAAAAACCCAATAATCTCACGATGTTTCTATTCGCCCAAATTTGACCTCCATTTTTAGCCGCCACATGCTGCTTCTCTTGTAACAAGTCTCGCGCCCTCCTTTGGTGTTGGGTGAGGGAAGGGTTTTTATTTTTAAATTTTTTGTTATTATTTATTTAGATTTAACAACCTGATCTTTCTGCTCCTGCGTATCAACAATTTCAGAGGTAATAAGTATGTTTCTTCTTCTTGATCTATGCATTACATGGGCAAATATATATGGCTATGTAAGTAATGAAAGGGTCAGATGGGTTGAGGTTCGTGATAGACAGAGAAGAGTGCTTCTCTCATGATGCAAAGTACCAGGGCGACACCATTCACGTCTCTTTTGTTGTCATCAAAGTTGATTCGTCTTTCTTTTCTATTTTTAATATCCTTTCTTATTTTAGTAATTTGTGGTTGCCAAGTTGTTTGCTTTTTTTTTTTTCTTTTTTTTTTTCAGAATCTTTTCTGCTAAAACTTATCGTTGAGCAAGTTCTAATGGATTGTGCTGATTTGTATGGGTTTTTGTTGCCTTGAAAACTTGAAATTTTGATTAGTGTACGAAGTTTGTGGATTTTTGTTTATGAAAATGGGAGAAAGTGTTAAACTATACTCCAAATTTGTGTAAATATAAAACAGTAAATACACCCAATTAAAACAATAAACACAATTAACAATAGGTAAAATAAAATAGAAACAAAGGTAAACAGAGTCTAGCATGTGAACCTATGTTGCACCGATATGGATACGGGTACGGGTACACTCATACAGCAATAAAAATAATATAAATATTAAGTGGTTTAGAGGTTAGCTTGGACTGAGACTGTCTGCTCTTTTTGGTCTTGGTGCTGGGCAGGGTTTAATTGGCTGGTGGATGGTTAAAAGTGGTTTAGAGGTCAGATATGGTTTCTCTTGTCGTGGTTTTGATTGAAATTTAATAAAAGCGATGGATTTTTGAAATAATTCTCTCTCACAGGAGCCAGCATCTGAATATGCTCAGCCAAGAGTAAGCCCTTACCTTCTTGCAGCCCATCTTACTTCAGCCTTCGCTATATACTGTCGCCTTTTATGGACAGGTCTTTCTGTTGTCATGCCTGAACCACCTTCTGAATCACTAGCTTGGGTTCGTGGGGCAGCTAAGGTGAAGCGACTTGCTCTTCCTGTAAGCTTACTTGTCGGAGTAACTGCTGTCTCAGGAGCATTTGTAGCCGGGAGTGATGCTGTATGTAATTTTTGTTTTCCTTCTTGCCTTTCACAATGAATTGAATGGATGATATGTGGCTTTTCCTGAGTAAGAGATTATAAATGTGCTTATGTGTGAAAATTCCAGGGGCATGCTTACAATACTTTTCCAAAGATGGGGGATACATGGATCCCAGAGGATGTTTTTGACATGAAGCCACTAATCCGGAACTTCTTTGAGAATACATCTACTGTGCAGGCAGCGGCGTAGCCAGGAATTCTCTCAAGGAGGGTCAACATTATTAGCCAAGATAAATGGAAAAGCCATACCACCACCAGACTTGGACTATGATGGTTTAGAGGAGAAGAAAAATGCATACAAGGATGTGCCATGAGAATAAAACTATGAGATAATAGATTAATAACCTAAAATCTTAAGTATCCATTATTTTTCTACATAAATATTTTAGAATAAGTTCAATTATATAAGAAAACTTTGATGGTTGTTGTTCCAAAAATATTTAATGGGTTTTAAGACAATATTGGAAGATGTTGCTAATTAAACTGAACATGAATAAAAACACTTACGTGGTAGAAGGTCAAACCAGTTGCTCTACCACCCACTTCCATATGCTTCATCAAGGGTGGAATCAGGAATTTTTCAACGGGTGGGCTAGCTAAAGTTATTAGCTTAAAATTTAATGATTATTTTTTTTGGTACGTATACTTACAATTTCTATAGTCTTTGTAGAAATAAAAGTAAACATTAAATCATATAAACCACGCTCATAGCTCCATAAACTAATTTTCAATAAGTTTTAACATAAACCAAATAGGGTTTAACATTATAGTGGATTAGGCTTTTTACCTAGATTGACCTTAGTTCCTTCATGCATTCATATCATACATGAAAAATTGTTTTATGTAAAAATATTGACTAAGTATGAAAA